TGGATACTACCATTACTTCTACTCTACAGAAAAGGAAACTGAGGCCAGGAGCCTGTGCCAGGTCACACAGGAAAGTGTGGGGCTCTAGGACTGGAACCAGGCACTCCGGCTCCAGAACCAACTTTCTGGGGCCTCCTGTCCTCAGTGTGATTGTCAGTTATGGGTTCGCTACTGTGCACTGTACCCCCACACTACCCCATTCCATCCGGGCAACACAGCCACCGACAGGAACCACGATCCCACTCCTCAGCTGGAAAAACTCAAGTGTGGAGAAATTAAGGACGGTGCTTGAAATCTCAGAGGCTAAGATACAGTTCGGGGCTTTGAACCCAGAACATCTGGTCCCCAGCACATGGCCTCGCAACCCTGCCACACCAGGCCGCTGGAATCACCTCTCCATGTTGTGCAGGAAACCCAAGAGCTGACACCACTTCCCAAGCAGAGCCACCACGCGCCCTCCATGTCACAAGCCTGCACAGCCAGCCAGGAGACGCGAGATCTCAAGACCCAGGCAGCCCCCCTCCACCTCTCAGGCCATGGCTGGCCTCGACCCCCTAAGGACACAGTCACAGCAGCATGCCAGGACCAAGGCCACCTACGTGTTCTCTATGACCGTGCCAGGGTCACACACCACAAAGGGCCCACTCCCCTTGTTCTTACCAAAGCTGTGACTTCTCTGGGGCCCCAAAGACAACGGGGTCAGCGCCTTCCGCTCCAGGTCCTGCGGTAGATGCTGAACGCCAGGGAAGGGCTTTGCTGGGGACCGCCTTGTTCACAGAGCTGTCACATTGAGTCTGCTCGGTACCAAGAAGGTTTAGCCAAAAGGAAATTTCCCTCCAACTTAATAACTGAAGGCAGTCGGTCTGGGCTCCAGTGGTCCAGATCCTGCCACTTAATAAATATGTGGCTCCAGTAAATGCCTAAACCTCTCTGAGCCTCAGCTCCCTGGGACACAGTAACAATAGTAGCCAGCTTTTAGGCTACTAGAAGGTCACGCGAACAGTGCACAGAACTGCATGACACGTTCCAGCCACCAGGGGGCGGGCGTGCACTGGGCTCCTGGCTCCACTCACCCTGAGCCCTGAAAGTCCCTGCCCTGTGAGGGCCTTGACGTACTCAGCCAGCCTTGTCACCGCCAGGGGTCATTCTTGGGTATCTCACTTCAGACTTTCCTCCCTGCTTGCAAGCACAAGTGCACTCTCTCTCACAGAGAGAAATGGTGCAAGGATAGGATGAGACCACCAGAACATCCAGTCTAAGTTAAAACATCAGCCACAGCTGCTACTTGGAGAAGCTGTCTCAGCTAGTAAACACAAGTCTCCAACATTTTTATTTTACCTGCCTCACACTCTGCACACACAAGGCCCAGAGAGGGGAGGCACCTGCTTCAGGACACACAACAGCAGGAAGATCAAGACTGGATGCTGCGTCCCCTTCCTCACAGCCTCTTCCTGATGCCTTCTCCTCCCTTTTCTCCCCTCTTGGGGGCTCTTTCTCAGCTTCTCCGCACATCCTGGGTCAGCCACAGAGCTTCACTTCCGTGCTCTGTCACTCCAGGATCACTCTTCAAGACAGCCCCCCCGTCTGTTTTAGAAAAATCCCACCTGCACCCCAATGCCCCTCACACTCTATCTCAGATCCACAGCCCACAGAATGGGAAAGAATTTCTGCCATTCATAAATCTTGGATTCAGAATACACTGGCATCCAGAATATATAAAGAGCAATGGCAACTCAATAATAAGGCCAAAGAATCTGAAAAGGCGTTACTCTAGAGAACCTACACAAATGGTCAATAAGGGGGCTGGGGAGATAGCTCGGCAGCACAGGGGCCTGCCTGCCAAGTGCAAGGTCCTAAATTTAATCCCTGGTGTCAAAACAAACAAACAACTACAAATAGTCAATAAGGATAAAAGATGTTTGATATCATTAGCCATGAGGAAAATGCAACTTGAAGCCATCATGAAATATCACTTCACACCCAGTCCACTAGGGTGGCCACAATAAAAAACAAAATGATAAAAGTATTGGTGGCAACGTGGAGAAACTGGAACCCCTGTGTGCTGCTGATGGGAACATAAAACATTGCAGCTGCTTTGGAGACGGGGTGGCCATTCCTTGGGCGTGAATTTCCTGACCCAGCAACTCCCCCCAGGCGTATGCACAGAAAAACATTGGTCCACACCAAAACTTACACTTGAACATCATGGCTTTATTTATGAGAGTCAAAAGCAGAAAACACCCCACGTGTCCACAGAGAGGTGGAAGCTAAGCGTGGCCTACCCACGTGATGGAATATTGTCCACTTTCGAACACATTGAATTCTCAGGGCTGCTACTACATCAAGGAGGCTGGGGAACGCCACGCTAAGTGAGCAGCGGGTCCCAGAGGACTGCATGCGGCGTGACCCCCTTTACATGCAGGCCCAGAACAGGCGATGCTCAGTATTTGTAGCTTCTAAACTGTCACCAAGAGCCACACACAGATTTGAGCTCCTAAACGTGGCCAGGGTGCTGCAAGGCTCGAATCTTTAATCTATCTTCCATTTAACCACATGGGTAGTGGTTTCCTCATATAGACAGTCCACACCTAGGTCTCTCTCGGTAGCCTCAGAGCTCTACACAGGGCCCGGCCTTTACTAAATGTGTGAAGTGAATGGAAGACAGGAGGGCAGCCCCAAAGAGCTTCCCTCTGAAACCTCACACCTCCTTCACACCAGGACCAGTCTTCTGACAGGCTTGAGACACTGTGTATGATAAATAGCTAACAAGTCCACGAGGCAGGCAGAGTCTGCAGGGACAAGGTGGGCCCTTTCCACATCGCCCAGCTTGCAGTTTGCCAGCAGGCCTAGAGAGGAAAGGGGAGGGGAGAGGAAAGGAGAGGAGGGGAGGGGAGGGAAAGGGAAGGAAGGGGAAAGAGGGAGGGAGATGGAGAGAAGAGGAGATGGAGAGAAGAGGGGAGGAGAAGAGAGAGGAGAGGAGAGAGGGAGGGAGGGAGATGGAGAGGGGAGGGAGGAGAGAAGAGAAGAGAGGAGAAGGGAGGGGAGGAGAGGAGAGAGGAAGGGAGGGAGATGGAGAGGAGAGGAGAGAAGAGGAGAGGAGAGAGGGAGGGAGGAGAAGAGAGGGGAGGGAGGAGAGAGAGGGAGGGAGA